ACTCTCACTCCGCTGCTACTGGTGTACTACACGTACACGCTGCTACTCATTGACGTGAAGTGAGCGAGAGAGATCACAGTGGAGAGAAGTAGTGCTGCGACGTAGTGTCACTCTCCGATTACTACGCCTCACAATATAGCTACCCTTTTTATGCTGTGCAGAATAGCCTGTTACATTTCTGTGTTACTATGACCTTTGCAGTGTAACACGTCACGAAACTATATACAGTTAATAACGTGGAAGAGTTTGGTCCAGCTACTAGCGGGAGCTACTTTTGGGTACTATACAGTGACCAGAGGCAGGCTGCGGTATGTGCTCCAGTTTTTGATGTTGCATGACAGAGCCACGGACTAAGCGACCAGACTATGTACGTATTAACTAGTCAAAGCTAAGGTTGACATGTGATCAGTAGTTAAAAACGGTGAACAATCCTTTAAAGGCTTATGCTGTGACCTTACATGTCCGTTTGGCGCGAAGCCGTGTGAATGCACCATCTTCAAACACACAAACAAACATAAGAGAACTAAAAAGGACGTGAGGGATCGAGTTTGTGATCTCACAGGTGATACTGAATATCGTTGCTACTTTAAACTGCGTGGCGCTTCGAGAGTTTTTGACTGTAAAATATGAATCTCAACGTTTTAGAATGGAGAAAAAAGACTATCTTTAAAGCCTTATACTTGCATTTGTTTATAACCTGTAACTGTCGGTCACATTATAAATCCTAGATGGAAACATTTACTGTGCAGTAAAACAATTACAAAGTAACAACAGTTCTCGTTGAACTGAGTGGCATTGTGTATTATTCTACCTCTGGTCATAAACAGGTGGAAACAGACAAACCTGAGTGTCGCTCTGAGGTCTGTGGGGCCCTGAGGTGCTTGGGTCCTGAGGTCCTGGGGTCCTGAGGTCTTGGGCCCTGAGGTCTTGGGCCCTGAGGTCTTGGCCCTGAGGTCTTGGCGGCCCTGCGTGTTAGGCACCCTGAGGTCTTGGGTCCTGAGGTCTTGGGCCCTGAGTCTTAGGCTCAGAGTCTTGGCCCTGAGGTCTTGCCTCTGAGGTCTTGGCCCTGAGAGGTCTTGGTCCTGAGTCTTGGGCCCTTAGGTTCTTGGGGTCCTGAGGTCTTGGGTCCCTGAGGTCTTGGGTCCCTGAGTTACTTGGGCCCTGGGCTGGAGTCCAAGCAGTGATTTTCACTGGACAAAACATTGGATATTAGAGCTGTAATGGATTATTAAAAGTAATATAAAGAACATTGATGAACTTAGTGTGTAGTAAAGGTGATGTTGTTTGTGTGTTTTCTGACCTCGTAATGTAGCTGTGGTCAGATGTACCTTCTGATCAGTGTCTACAGAGTCTCCAGGATCAATGGATTCTGTATGTTTTCTGGTGCGGGGTCCCCACAGCAAGAACACCCTCCTACAACACTGATCCTAAAGCATGGAAACAGACCACGTGTGATGAGACTGTGCAGCACCATGAGCACAAGCAGCTCACACTACAAGGTCAAATTTGCAACATATACACTTTATTTTCACAAAAGAAACATTACTAAAATACACACTCCATTGTCATGGACCAATGAACCCTCTTTTCACAATGATGTTCATTGTTTAATCCACTGGTGTATTCTATGACAAAAGCCTCACTCTGACCAGTCGTAAACTTTAAATATAAATTAATCTAAAGTCAGATCATAGTTAAGGCGCGTTCAGACAAACGCTTCAAAAATCTTTTGACGCGCTTCAGCTGAGCCTAAGATAGTTTTGTCATTTTGGTGCTGAAGCTTTGACGCGAGAGACCGCCTGACGCCGTGGGACTGCAGCTTATCTGTTGTCTGTATGTCAGGACGAACGTTGGATCTTTTCACTGAGCAGCGAGCCTTAATTTGTTATAAAAGCAAAATATCATTGTTGTAGGCGTCAACAACTGTTTCGGTTTCACCACAGACTTGAGAGGCTGCAGTGTTTGCATGAGTTCCAGTCATTTACTACCATGGCAGCAGCGTACGGAGGAGTTTCGCTTTCAGCGGATACTTCCGCATGTCACAGCTGCCAGTTCATGGGTTCTCAAACCCCGGAGCTCGCCTCTACCCCTCCCCACCCCTCACCCCCTGCCTCGCTCTCCGCCTCTCCCCGCACCTCGCCTCGCCTCTCCCTGCCTCTCCCGCTTCGCTCGCCTCTCCCCGCCTCGCTCTCACCGCCTCTTCCTGCCTCTCCCCGGCTCTCGCTCTTCTCCTCCCTGCCTCTCCCCGGCACTTGCTCTTAACCAGACTCATCGTCATCCTGTTCTTATAGTAAATAACTACCATTTAACCTACACGCATGTGTTCATATTTTTGTTACTCAGACGTTACCCTACTCATACAAATAATATTACTAATAACCTTAATGACAACAAAACAGCAGCAACGATACATGACTTACTCTCAATGATCAGAGACAGACCCGCTGCTGCTGCTGCTCCGTCTCCTGATTGTTTAAGCCCGCTCAAAGCTTCAAGCTCAGCTTTGACTCAGCTTCGTCGTCAAAGGTATTGTTTTGATACGCGAGTCGTTCGCGTGACAAAAGCTTCAAGTGAGCGCTTATACTATTGAAGCTTTGACCGCGCGCCAAGTGACGCCGGGGGCTCTCAGCTTTCACCTGACGCCTTCACCATTCACTTCAATGCCAACCTGACGCTTTTGACGCCGAAGTTAAGTCGGTGTGAAACGCCCCTTAGTGTTTCCTTTGTTCTCACTGTGGGTTTGAGAGAAGCAGCTCAAGAATGAACTCAGGTGGATCCACATAGACCCGTCACTCTCAGGGACACTAGCACTGGACACAGAGGATCTGTGTGGAAGAAAGACCTGTTACTCTGGTTCCATGGTTCAACCATCAACAGAACAGGTATGAATGTGTTTAATGCAATTACGATAGGACTAAAGACAGGCCAGAGAGACACAAGAGAGAGACTAGAGAGAGAGAGATAGATACAGTAGGTACCAGAGCGAGAGAGACCAATGGAGGAACCAGGAGAGAAAACCATAACACTTGTTTACATTTCAAGAATTCCTCAAAGAAAACAACTGTAAGAGAGAAGAGCTCCAATAACACTATTATTCACTGTTATTATATGAAGAGAGAGAGTTTTCCACAGGTGACTCTCACATTGTGATCTCCTCTTTCTGCTCTCTCTTTCTCTCTCTGGTCTCTCTCTGGTCTGTCATATTTATCCATCGTAAATGCTTAAAAACTCATTTCTTCCTTTTTCATGATTGGTTGAACCAATGGACCCAGAGTAACATGGTCTATCTCTCCACACATAAGCTAAATCCTCAGGTGTCCAGTGCTGTTCCCTGAAACAGTGACGGGTCTCTGAGGAGAATCCACCGAAGTTCAAATCATGAAGCTGCTTCTATCCAACCACAGTGAGAACAAAGGAAACACTAAAGGGAGCGTTCACAAACCCAGGACTTAACTTCGCGTCAAAAGCGTCAGGTTTGCATTGAAAGTGAATGGAGAGCGCGTCAGGTGAAGCCGAGAGAGCCCCGTCGTCACATGGCGCGCGCAAAGCTTCCCAACAATCCTCACGCGCCGACCCTTGAAGCTTTGACCCGAAAACGCTCGCGTATCAAAACAATCCCTTTGACCCGAAGGCGAGCAAAGTGCTGTCAGCTTTTGAAGGCTTTGACTCGGGCTTTTCAACCCAACAGGAGACGAGGAGCAGCATCAGCAAGCGGGTCTGTCTCTAGCATGAAGAGAAGTCGTCGTATCTGTTGCTGCGGTTTTGTTGTCATTATTGTTAATAGTAATATATATGTATGAGAAGATTAACGTTTCTAGGTAAACAAAAATCATAGAACACATGCTGTGTAGTAAATGTAGTTTATTTAATAAAAAGAACAGGCTGACAAGAGTCTGGCTCAGAGCAAGAGACGGGGAGAGGCAGGGAGAAAAGCGAGCAGAGAGCCCTGGAGAGTCAGGGGAGAGGCGAGAGCGTGGCGGGAGAGGCGAGCGAGAGCCGGGGACGAGGGCAAGGGAGAGGCGCGCGAGAGGCGGAGAGGCGAGAGCGAGGCGGGGAAGCGGCGAGCGATCCGGGGCACGCGAGAACTCAGACTGGGCCGTGTGGACAACATGCCGTAAGTCACCGCTGACAGCGAACTCCTCCGTAACGCAAGCCCTGGAGTAAATGTCGGAACTCTGCAAACACTGCCCAGGCCTCTCATTCTGTGGTGACCCCAGGAACATTTTTTGTTGAAGCCCATACAACAATGTTATTTTGCTTTATATACAAATAAAGGCTCGCTGCTCATTGAAAAATCCAACGCTGGTCCTGACTACCGTAACAGAGAAGCTCCATCCACCGCGCAATGCCGCGTCACTCGCGTCAAAAGCTTCAAGCACCCAAAATGACAAAACTATCTCTGGCGCAGCCGAAGAGCGCGTCAAAAGCTTTTTGAAGCGTTTGTCTGAACTCGCCTTAACACTGATCTGACTTTAGATTACATTTATATTTTAAATTTACGACTGTACAGATGAGGCGTAGTCATAGTGAATCACCAAGTGGATTAAACAATGAACATCACATGGTGAAAAGAGGGTTCATGTCCATAGACAATGGAAGTTTGTATTTTAGTAATGTGCTTTTGTTGAAATAAAGTGTATATTGTTGCACATTTTGACCTTGTCGTGAGAGCTGCAGTTGCTCAATGGTGCTTCAGTCTCATCACAGAGGTCTGTAACCACTGCTTTAGGATCCAGTGTATTAGGAGGTGTACTCTGCTGTGGGACCCCCGCACCAGAAAACATACAGAACCATTGGATCCTGGAGCTCTGAAGACACAGATCAGAAGGAACCATCAGACCACTGAGCTACACAAACTGCTTGTCAAAACACATCAACAACAATCACTTTACTACACACCTAAGTCTCATCACTGTTATTTAAATACTTTATAAAACCATTACAGCTCTAAAATCCAATGTTTAGTGTCCGAGAAAAGACTCACTGCTGACTCCAGCCCCATGTCCTCAAGACCTCAGATGACCCAAGACCTCAGGCCCCAATACCTCAGGACCCAAGACCTACGAGGGCCCAAGACCTCAAGGACCCACGACCTCAGGCCCAAGACCTCAGTGCCAATACCTCAGGGCCCAAGACCTCAGAGCCCAAGACCTCAGGGCCCCAAGGACCTCAGGACCCAAGACACAGTGGCCAAAAGAACACTCGCGGCCCAAGCCACTCCGGCCCAAAGACCTCAGGGCCCACGAACCACAGGCCCAAGTACCGTCAGGGCCCAAGACCTCAGGGCCCCAAGGACCTCAGGTCCCCAAGCCCTCAAGCGACACAAGGTTTGTCCTGTTTCCCTGATTTATGACCAAAGGAATGAAAACACACAATGCACTCCGTAAGCAACAAACAGTTGTAACTCTTGTAATGTTTTAACAAGCCAGTAAAAAAACGAAAGAAAGGTATGAAAAAAAGAAAAAAGATTACAGTAGTCTGGGAATTACGAGAAATAAAAAATGGAAATGGAATATGGTCAAAAGATAGTAGGAGAAATAGAAACAAAACAGAGAAAGAAAAAAGAAAAGGAAAAAAAAGAAAAGAAAAAATAAAAGAAAGACAAATAAGAGAAAAATGTTATCCCTCTAGGATTTTATAATGTGACCGACACAGGCAATAAACAAATGCAAGATAAAGGCCTTTAAGATAGTCTTTTTTCTCCATCTAACGTTGATATCATATTTTACAGTCAACTCTCGAGCGCCACGCAGATTAAAGTAGCAACGATAATTGCTATCACTGTAGATCACAACACGATCCTCACGTCCTTTTTGTCAACTTATGTTTGATGTGTTTGAAGATGGGCATTTCACCACGGAGCAGACTTCCAGCCTCATGGACATCTTATAGGTCACATTCTAAGCCTTTAAAGGAAGTATTCACCGTTTTTAATACTGACCATATACTGTTCTTCACCTTACTAGACTAGTTAATACGTACCTTCTGTCTTAAGTCCGTAGCGCTCTGTCATGCAAACGGAGCACAAACGGAGCACACAACCGTCAGCCTCCTCATCGGTCACTGTAAATTACCCAAAAAGGTAGCTCCCGCTAGAAAGCTACAAACCTCTTCCAAGTGTTCCTATAAAAATGTCAAGTTACGTGACGTGTTTACACTGACAAGTATAGTAACACAGAAATGTAACATCCGATTTTCCGTCAGGGCGGCTCAAACGGTCCTATATTGTCGGCTAGTATCTGCAGGTGCGCTACGACCCCGCGCACTCACTTCTCTCCGAAGGACTTCTCTCTCGCTCACTTCCGTCAATAAATAGCAGCGTGACTTGGTATACACACAACCGTAGCAGCGAGAGAGACGTCTCCGACTAGAAGTTAGGAGCGCTACTCCGCGCACTAACTTCTCTCCGGAGACTTCTAAAAACATTCCTTAAAGACCACTATTCACAAATATATTGGAGGAGAATATTCTTGAAGGTCCTCATTTAGATGTTTTTCATTTGGCACAAGTGAAACAATACTGATCTTGTCCCTTTAACATCTCCTCAATTAAAGAAACATTTCCTCCTGTTTAATCTGAATATAACGATACGTGGACAAACGCCGCCTGACACCTCTCCAAAAGTATTCCACCCATTTCCCTTTTATATCATTTTTCAACAGTGAAGCACGATATATGTGTATAAATATCGATATCAGCCGATGTCATCCAATCCATGGTTCAGGTGCAAGAGGAACTCAGATTACCGAACGCTAAATCATCTTTAAGAAACACAACAGTATTGATTATAGCAAGAAAGTAGTCACCACTTTTAATACTATGTTAAATCCTTATAGTTTTTAATGCAATCAATTATTATTGGTGACTATTTATCTTGTCTAGTTTTTAATCCATAAATACTCCTTTTTTACATAACTACTACATCAACTCTGCATTACAGATATTTTCACTCCCACATAAAGAGCCAAACAAAAAGCCCTGTTTTGCCTTTTCCCACATCGCCCACTTCTAACTAAAATAAAAGTCCATTCTGCAAATAGAGAAATAAATTCCTATGTACAAACTTTTATCATCTCAGATATTAAAAATTATTATTTTATAAACATCGTTATCAGCAAATACTGTTAACGGCCATTAATCAAAGAAACATTCATAACGATATCAAAATCGCCAAAGTGTTTCATATCGGTGCAAACTCCCTAAATTCATTTTCTTACAGGTTGTAATCTCAACGGTTATTCATTTTTCATGTCAACTACTCGGAATAATCTAGTGCGACAAAGTTTTAAGATGTTTATTAGGATTCTTTGCCGTTTTGTTAAGAATCAACACAAAGAATACCATGTACATAAGTGTTCAAAAATAGTCCCAACTGCATGAAGGGGAGGATTGAGTACTTTATCTGCTCACAGTGGCCCACTAAAGCAGAAGTAGACCTCTGCTTGCGGACTTACAATCTTATCACAGCATCACAAGGAGACTCTGGAAACAGGGAATAAGCTCTAAATGAAACATGCCAGAAAGAAGAAATATAAAAGAAACACATGATTAACTGTAACGTCTGCATTCCACTCACAGAATGAAGACTCCAGAAGCTTCTGAATGATCATAAACAGCGTCCATGGATCAGCAGAAAAATATTGGGAAGTGGGCCGATGGAACAGAAGGAGTACAGTAAGTACTCCACTTAACATCATCTCACTGCAGCTGTACATCCACTAGAGGGCCTCTAGTTGAACACACCCACAGCCCAGCATGAGAGCGGAGGCTGAGGGGAACTCTCCAATAACGAAGACTAGCCCAGGCATGAAGGAGCACGAGGCTGCATGAACTCCTCCAGCCATGAAGACTGCCACAGCATGAGAGCCGTAGGCAGAGGGAACTCTCCAAGAAGACTGTGCAGGAAACCTCCATCAGTAGTCAGTGACATCATTACACACTGCCCACTGAGGAGCAGGACAGGGGTGCGCCACAGTCCATCAGCGCAGTGCTGACAGCCTTGGCGTGGCTGGAGTGGGAAGACCTTCCTCAGTCCATGAAGTTTCAGTCTGAACTGGCTCAAGGGCTCAGAGAACCAGGAGCTGCGTCTGGTGGTGCCAGCTGTCCCTTCAAGAGAGATGACCTGTGAAAGGGCAGCGCTCCAGACTGATGCTAGCTCCTACAAGTGATCCATCCAGCGCTGGAAATACAGGTGCTTTATCTACTGCATCAGTCCATATTCACAGTGTTTACTATCAACACATTTATTATAGTGTTTAACACAACTGAGAACGTTCTCCCAGCCCTGAGCTGATGGCGTTTGAATCAGTAACTAATAAAACGTTTATACAAAACAACACACCTCTTCCTGAGGGTCAAACGATGTCACATGATCATCATGCACAGAAACTGCTCTGCATTCATCATGTATGCGACTGGTAACTGTCATGTCTTGTGTCCAAAGACTCTCTCTCCACACCTCCTCACTGTCCGTCTCTAAACTCCTCTTCGATCTTAGACGGCCTGGACCGAGCAGACTGGGTCTGGGACTTTGACTGTGAGCACATCTCTGAGGTCACACAGAGCTCAGACGTCATAGTGCTGATAGTACCTCAATCAGCGGCCCTCCTGCTTCCTACAAGCCCTTATTATGGATCACCCCTCACAGAACACAGCAAAGCCAATCAGCTCCCACAACAGAGTGAGTGCCAGAGTCACAGAGGTCAGACGCATCATCACTGAGCGTCAAAGGAGCATACTTCAGGAAGAGGTTCACAGATGAAAAGAGCAGTGTAAGACCAGTCTGTCCCACATCAAGAAGCTCCCGCAGCCTCCACATCATGGTCAGATCCCGCATCTTCTGCTGGATCACCGGCCACTCGACCTGGACCAAATGTTTCGAGAACCATCGACACAGCGGAGCGCTGCCCCCAGACTCCTCAGCGACATGAACGCTGGCTTCCTATTGGTGCCGACCCACATGATAGAGCACAAATACCAACCGAGACCTGAGGCACGTTCAGAGAAAATGCAGTTTTTTGTCTGGCAGGTTCAGAGCTGAAACAAGAGTCAACAGTGGTGATCGACAAAAGCAGAACATCCTACCCTTGAAGCTGGGCAATGGCCTTTGAACATCTGCGCATCTAGGAAACATAATGTTCTAACCAAGGCAAGACCTGAGCCGGTGGGACTAGGACCTGACCAGAGGCCTCGTCCTACTCAGGACTCCTGTACAGGAGATCTTACAACAAGAAAGTGTTGTCTACAACCAATCTTCTACACCAGCTTTCGTCACACTGAAGTGACCAGGAGATTATGGCAGCGGTTTACCTGCTGCGCACTGCTTTTGGAATTGACATGCAAGCGTTTGAGAAGTTTCTCTGTGAAAAAGCACACGAGAGCACAAAGTATAAGTCAATTGAGTTTCTCAGACACGTCTCTTGATAAATCCCTGAGTGGTTCAAAACGGTCGCCTGGACTGTTTGTGTGCTACCTTCCCTGGACCTCACATCTGCCATCCAACCAGAGACATTTAAAAGGTCTGCTGAATCCAGTGTGAACAGGTCAGGAAATCCACTAAATCATTGAAAACCATCCAAGCGATGAGCACAGAGGAGGAGTCTTCAGACAGAAGCCTCATCATCTTCCACATCCTGATGGAGATAAGGGAGCCGTCTCTCACTGCAGCTGTGCATCCAAGCTTCACCTGAAGTACTGGAAGGGACTCAGGCAGACGAACTGTCCTGTCTGTTACCAGTTCTCTGCTCTGGCTACCTGCAGAGCAGAAGTCCGACCCTGTCCTGGAGAACTGGAACCAAAGAAGTAACAACACGTCAGCAGACAGTATGTAGGAAACAGATCTCCTCTGTTGAGGAACTGCAGGAAGGCTCGGTCAGTCCTCACAAACTCTTCAAGTCCTGATCAGACTCTAACATATTTAAATCACACCTTCTGATTTAACAGTTGTGTGACCTGTAGACTCTCAGAGACCGACGGTGAAGTGGTGCATCAGCGCTGAGCTTCCAGCCCCCTCCCATCTCACTGAACTGGATCTGATCTCGTCATGAACTGAGTGACTCAATGTGTTGTCCTGTGCAGTGTGCGGAACTGCGGAGTCCTCACTGTGAGCTCACCTCTCTCGAGTGAGTGTCCCTTCATTTAAACCTAGGTGATCCTCATAGTTTCGTGAGAAGCTGTGTATCGACCCCATAACTGTGGGAGCAATTTCCTCCTGATGACACAGAGGGAGCAGCACCGGTTAACATGAAACATAATGTATTCTCACATCATTACAGTTTAGCACTATAACAGTGGTCCTTGTTATCAAGATGAAAGAGCTTGGAAAGTG